TTTAAAATTAGAGGCAACCACTGCATTTTAATCATGATCCAAACAAAGATGCTGCACACATGCAACATGAGCAGTTTTTAATCTAAATTAGATTGTATAATTTCGAAATTTGAAGCAAAAACAGAATGTGTTGACTTCAGTTTTGTGAAACTATATATAAAAATATCTGCATGAATCAGCAGACGAGCTGAATGAGACGCAGATTCTCTCTCTGCCAGCAGGTGGCGCTTTAAGCGTTTCCTTGGTTTCCGCTGTAAACAAAGCAGCCCTGCACTTATGAACTTTAATATGCATTATACAGAGGCAAGAGGAAAAGAAAAAATACCATCTAAACTTTTCTAAAGACAGTAAGTTCCCCTCAGACATACATTCATATAAACTCCTACCCCTAAATTTATCGCCATTTGTTTAGCATCTCAACCGATTTAAATCGTCACATATTTGAATCGATTTTCAACCGGCTCGCGGTTAATTTTTACATCCCTATTATTTTAGGTTCAAATGGTGCGTGTGTAAGGACCTGGAAGCAAGCAGAATACGGCTATTTCTAAAGCATGCAGTGCCATCTGCTGTTAAAAACTAGAGAGAATCGCGATGCCTTCGGAACATCTCAGAATCGATGCAGAATCATTTCTCGATTTCTCTGTATATTTTTACACATGAGAAGATCATGTGTTTTTTTTTTTTCCAGAGAAGTTTGGTTTGCAGTAAATGCTGCTCCACATCAACTTCATCTCTGCATCTGCTTTGGGTCACTTTTGATAGGGTCACTTTTGATAACGCAACACATGCCACCCATCTTCCCAAACTTTTAATGAGAAGCCCTAATAAACCGGCTGTTGTCAACCGAAGAGAAGTTTTAAGGGCTTACAGCAGTTTTCTGCCAAAATAAAAGCTTGATTGCTATAATAATATTAATAACAATAATAATATTATTGTCATTATTAGTCATATTAATATATAATCACTTTTTGGCCAAATGTGTACAGCCCTAATTTATATAGTGCTATAAATTCTTAATGTTATAATTTCAACATCAAATGGTGATTAAAACAGCACAAAATCTCTTCATCATACAACAGTACAAAAAAATGCACGTGCTATTCCTATGTTATTACTACATAAATTAAAATTACATTCATTAAAAACAAGAGACATTTTTTGCAACTGCAAATTATACACAAACTAGTTTGGTTATTTTGAAGGATGACAGCTACCAGGTAGCTACCAAGTGACATGAATTTTCACCAAAGGTTTAATTGGATTGAAAATAGCAGTTCTCCATCTCCTGATTTTTCAGACAAACAGTGTTTTATGAGTGTATTATGAGATTTGCACCTACCAGGAATAGTATTATCCAGCACAAACGCCACTGAACCTCCTACAAACATGGCAGTCGTAAGCAGAACGTTCAGCACCTGATCTATCTGCACTATACCTACAAAAGAAGAAAAGAATATGGTTCCTCACTGGCTCCTCAAGAAGCAATCATCATTTCCCATGTGGTGAGTATACACATGTTTGTGTATCTACCAGTGACTAGAGGGTTTCCTTTGAGGTAGCTGGGCAGGACCAGGCCAAAGAAGATGGAGAAGCCAAGGACAAACAGATTGCGGGATGAGTTGAGATCCACAAATTGCAGATTGGAAAGACCAACAGCGGTGATCATGCCGAATAGAGTGCAGAACAGCGCCCCCAGAACTGGGTCCGGCAATGATGCGAAGAGAGCGCTGAATTTACCCACCATTCCTAGTAATAGCATCAGTGCCGCGCCATACTGAATTACTCGCCTGCTCCCCACCTACACAATAAAACGCATAGAGAGAAGAAACGACCAATCAGAGAATACCTCCTGCATCAAGTGCATTACATGACTAGCACACAATACATTGACACCACAAACATTGCTATTTACACTGTAATATACAGTAACAAGTGAGATACAAAACCTAAAAAGTCAGCTGAAATATACACTATAATTACAAAGTTTGTAGTCAGTAAGATTTTTTAAATGTTTTTGAAAGAAGTCTTTTATGCTCACCAAGGCTGCATTTATTTGATTGAAAACAGTGACTATTATATAGTAATATTATGAAATATTATCAATTTGAAATAACAGTTTTCTATTTTAATATATTTTAATATATATTAATTCCTGTGATAGTAAATCTGAACTTTCAGCAGCCATTTCTCCAGCCTTCGGTGTCACATGATCATTCTAATATTACTGATTTGCTGCTCAAGAAATATTTATTATTATTAACAATGTTGAAAATAATTGTGCTGCTTAATACTTTTGGAGAAACAGTGATATTCCAGGAGTTATTGATGAATAGAAGAAAAAAAAAAATCTAAAGAACAACATTTACTAAATATAGAAATATACTAATATTATAAATGTCACTTTTTTTCAATTTAATGCATCCTTGCAGAATAAAAGCATTCATTTCTTATTAGAAAAAGCAAAAGAAAAAAGAAAAGAAAAAAAAAAAAATCGCACTAACCCCAAATGTTTGAAATGTAGTGCATGTCCATGAATATATTTAGTTTCCTTCCCAAATTGTTGAAGTAAACGCATCAGCACAAATTGTAATTGTGGAACTGTAATACTAGTATTAAGTATCAAAATCAAAGTAGTAGACTCATGAGTAGTAGTTGCATGCGTAATAAATTAATGAATAAATAAATAGTTCCTGTGGGAGTACATAGACAGCCAGAGCTTATTTTAAATTACGACTGCTGGAAACTCAAGAGCTGCTCTCTTCAGTACTGAAGGTCTTTAGGGTGCTAATGATCCGCTGCAGTCACTGACGGCCACTACACACTCTAACACATGCTGCTATGTGCTACAGTATATGGACTGCTCTCTGAATGTGCTTTTAACACCCAGCTCCTTAAAGCCAAGATCTGCTGTCTGTAAAGCCAGTTTACGAGTCAAGATGGTGCTATTTTTGGTTCCTTCGTTGTAAACGATTACACAAAAGAAATACCAGAGAGGCTGAATAGGAAAAGATCCTACTTTGGTGATGCCCAGCACTCCAATATTTGGGCTAGAAGATGTGGAGCCATTTCCTGTCCCGAAGATGCCATCGAGAACACAGGAAAGACCCTCCATGAAGATCCCTCTGGGAAAAAGAGATTCCAATTAGAGCATTAGGACAACCAAACATGCTAGGTGTCTTATCAGTTTTGATATGTGCAATTGTGTCCTTGTGTTGTACCTGTTAATGGCATGTATAGGTGGAGGCGGGGCACAGGAGAGACGGGCACAGGCATAATAGTCTCCAATGGACTCTATGATGCTGGCAACTACAGCACTCAACATCCCAATCACCCCTGCTGCTGTCACTGTGGGCAACCCCCACTGGACTAGAACACATAACCATTCAAACAAAGCATTATGTATAATCTTATCAGGTTTAGCATTTAACAATTCCCACCACATGAAGGTTTATTGAATACATTATATTCACTACACAATTTAGTTCTCACTGTCTCACTGTAATTATCAGTTTAAATGTAAGAACCGATGTAGAACTGATGTAGTTCATCTATTATATAACATAGTGATCTGCTTATAAGCCTCCTAAATGTCATGGAATCTCATATGTGACCTAATTGGAACAACATACCAACATGGCTATATTTCATAACACACTTAACTTGAATTAAAAGTTCAACTATAAAGTACAGTTTAAATCGTGTCATAATAGTCTTTTGTTGTGCCTTTAAAACTTATTTTGACGTATAGATGTTACATTTAAAGTTAATACACTATAACTACAAATATATTACAAATGTGTAATTAAAATATTATTTAAAAAAAACAACATAAGCTTTAATAGAACACATTAACGTATATTTTAGTTTGCCATAAATACTTGTCAGCACACTTTCCCATATTTCAAAAACAATAGGAGTAATTATGAAATTACATATATAAATGTACTCAAGTCTTACTTTGGTGGGTCAAAAACACTCTAAAGTTAAGCTAGTTACATTTAATATAAATGTAAATTATAATACTTTTTTCCATTTAATTGCAATTAACATGCAAATAAGCCTCCTAAAGCATTACATTCAGTTCACACTTTCAAGTACTTAAAAAAAAAAAAAAAAACAGAAACATGGGCAGTTCACTAGGTTTTGTAAAAGAGCAACACACACACACACACACACACTCACACTCACACTCACACTCACACTCACACTCACACTCACACTCACACTCACACTCACACTCACACTCACACTCACACTCACACTCACACTCACACTCACACTCACACTCACACTCACACTCACACTCACACTCACACTCACACTCACACTCACACTCACACTCACACACACACTCACACACACTCACACACACTCACACACACTCACAGGGGTAGGGTATCTTAAACCAGGGGGCGGCTGCCAGGATGCCCTGTCGGGCATCTGTTCGGGCGTAGAACCCATATTTGTCCTTCTCAGGAGGAAACACGTCAGTCACCGTGAAGATGAAACACAGAAACCATGACACAAGGATAGCCATGATGATCTACAGAGAGAAAGAAAAAGAGATACACCCAGCTACTTAAAAAAAAGAAACTCTTCTCCATTCTAAATTCTGATGAGTAACCCAGACTGCTGAACACAAAGCCAGACATGTTATCCAACCTCCTTCACTAGCCTTCAAACAAGCAGACAACACTGCATGCTGAAACTCCCTCACGATTCATCATCAAGGATCAATCTGTGTATTTAGGACTGCCTCTATCTGCCACCCACACTCACTTTCATTGCCATGTCACTGTCTGCTGTGCTTCCATTTAAAAACACAGGCCAAAATGACCTCATCTCTGAAACAGCATGGTAATTACGGCTGTCATCAGAGCTACCGGCAGATTAAGAGCTGTGCCAAAACTCTGAAAATGCCACCTCACGCTCCTGGGAGCTGGAGACACCAGACTGATAATGATTATGATAATTCCTTTATGAGAATGTGGATCATTTTTGAAATGAAAAATGCAATACACTGATTATCGAGATATGGAACAACACATGTTCAACAACTTTACCTGCCAATAGATTTAAAAAGCAACACTTGCAATTAATCAGAAATTCAAATTATTCAGAGATGATCGCTTGAATGTTAAAAACAAAATACAAAAGAAAAACATATTCCGATTTCATCTGCTATGAAATTCTGGTGTTTAAGCATTTTTTTTTTAATAATTGTTCTCATATTTTCTATCACAACTTTGGCAACAGCATAAGTAAGTAAGCAAGAAAGCAAGTAAATAAGTAAATGTATAATTTTTTTTTTCTTTTAATGGAATGGCACTGAGAAAAAAAAAAATTACACACAGTATATATATATATATAAATAATACCATAAAATAAAAATAATATAATAACTCTATATAATATAATATAACATAATAATCATTTTCTACATCTTTATGTGCTTTCTTATTCTGTTTTAATTCTCTCCATCACTGACTGAACAGATGTAAACAGTCGTGTTTGTCTTGGATTAATGTGGACAAACTCACTGGGAACATCTTGAACAGCTGCAGGCGATAAGACGTCCAGCCTTTTTTGGATTTGTAGATTGGGAGCGGCAACTGGATGTTACGCGCATACTGAGAGAACAGCAGCACCAGGAATATGGTTCTGTTGAATAGAGGGGAGAGAGTTTATACACTGCATCCACTGAGTTACAGTTCGGTTATTTACACAGCCATCATGTCTGTGTGTGAGCTGTACTCACAGCATGGCAATGCCCCAGTGTTTGCCTGCTCTCTCTCCAGCCGCCTGGAAGCCCGAGAGCCCAATGAGAGTGACAGTAGGGGTGATGGTGAGCGGGCCGATGTACTTCAACAGGACACCTGGCAAACCCAAGGCCCCTATGATCACCTCTATTAGAGACGAGACGATTATAGCACCCTGGATCTACAGAGACAGGAGAAAAACAGAGTTGGAGAAAGAAGTTTAAAGTTTTGAAGTGCTTAAATCTGATCATCATACAAATAAACTAAAAGAAGAAAAAAAGAAGAAAAAGGATGGCTCTGCAAAAAGCAGTTAAAGGTTAAAAGCAATCAAAGGTTGAAAAGTGTCATTGACAAAGGCCTCCAGACAGCGTAATGTTCTGTTTAATCTAATTTAGCTCAAGTTGCTTTGTCTTTGTCTGCCACACCAAAATCAATGTCAAATCCGTTTATGCAAAAGTATCTTAAAAAACAGATAAAGGGATAGTTCATCCAAAAATGAAAATTCTTTCATCATTTATTCACTCTAATGTCAGTTCAAACCCACAAGACTTGGAGAAGACTTAAGACCAAGTTAAGTCCTCCAATATATCCCCTGTACCAGGGCCGTCCTTAGCTGATGCGGGGCCCCCCTCTGTCCGTTCGCTGGGGGGGCCCCCTCAAGCGCGGGGCCTAGTGCGGCCACATCAGTTGCACCCCCCTAAGGACGGCCCTGCCCTGTACTGACGGAATAAAAGCCTGAACATTACCTGTCTGTTCTCAGTCGTCTCCTTCAGTGTTGTGACACACACAGAGTGAGCGTGTGCAAAAAAGGAGCTCTGTGTCTATAGTTATTACTGCTTCAATTTGTACATTAGTTGTTTCATTTAATCGCATATTACATATACATTATTATATACTTATGTATAACAACTACTCATTTACTGTGTATATAATATATATATATACACGCGTTTTTTCTTTTTCAATCTTTTTTATCCACATTGCTGTATTTAGTTTTCACTTATCTTTACAGTATATTCACTTCCACACATAAATCATTTCCTAATTTGTTTTTACACTGATTTTAGCGCACTAAATAAACATTTATGCATATTGTTATTTGGATGACATGAATTCTTAAATGCAGTTTTTAATAGCTCATATTACCCGAGTCACTACATGCTTTATTGTACTTTTAATACATTTTAATCACATTTCAAGATTTTAATTAACTATACAAATTTTAATTATGGAAAAAATGATTTATGTATTTAATCCATTGTAACATTAAATATAATCCATTGTAACATTAAATATAAATGCATCCTTCATTCATTCATTCATTCATTCATTCATTCATTAAATATCGATGTAAAGAGGATTTGTTAACTACCCCCTTTTTTATTAACATTTACAGTGATCGTGGTTCTATAGATCTTTTTATAATAATTCAGAGCATTTATAACCACTCTGCCTAAACTTGTCACCTCATTGTATTTCATTAGCTTCTCACCATCAGCTCCTTTATCGATTTTTACGTTAATGTTCCTCATTAAATACGCCTGTTCTGTTCTTCATTCTCTTTGTTTTAACACACCTCTCGTATCCTGGGGTACCAGATGTCTTCTGTGTGTGGCAGCTCTGTGGCATTTAACAGAGGAACAGCTGCAGAGAAACAAGACGATCAGATTAGCGGTCTTAAGCGTGACTGAGAGGGTACACAGGTGTGTGTGTGTGTGTGTGACATGTACCTGTCGCGTTACATTTCCACTTATCCAGTGAAAGGATGGCTCTTGCTGGGGCTAGAAAAGCAAAAGCACTAGCCTGGAACAATGGAAGCCTGGAGGCAAAACACACACAAAAACACAATCATTCACAAGAACAGCTTGTACTAACACACACACAATTACCCACAACACTCTTGCTCCTTGGAAACATCTATCCTCCAAGACAGGTAATGGTCACCAAGAGGAGCTCTTAACCACATCATGAGTCAGTGATCAAATCATTCTGTCTAGTGTCTGTAAATCACTCAATTATAATTATAAAAAAAGAACAATTGACATGAACACTGACATCTATATAGTCTCAGGTAATCAGACCTTTGACTAAACAATGCAAGATCAGGTCCTTATTGCAGCCTATTTTGTCCAAAAAGAGACCACCTGACTGACATGTAACAACAACCATTTACATGTGGTTTAAGGCAGTCGTTCTCAACCTTTTTGACTCTAAAGCCCCTCCATGTTCAAATACCTAAAAAAAATCTAAGCTGATATGGACATCTGGTATTTCTGTTGTAGTACAAATACATAAACTCTAAAATATGATAACAGTTTATTGTTGTACTTTTTTTTAGTTGTTTTTAATTAAGAGCATGCTAACTTAACTAAATGTAAATAATTTTAAGACTTACAGGCCCACGTTGACCTTTGATTTGGCCTGCCATGCCACAAAAGGATATTATGAAAGGAGTGGGGGAAAAAAAAAACATAATTGAAGCATATGTTCATTTCTAATTTATATTTTTGTTTTAACATTTTTTACCATTATTGTTTTTATTATTATCATTATTTTATTTTTTAATATATATACAGTGGATACGGAAAGTATTCAGACCCCCTTAAATTTTTCACTCTTTGTTATATTGCAGCCATTTGCTAAAATCATATCAAAAGGTTTGGGCACCTCAGCTCTAACCACTAGATGTCTCCACACACACTACTCATATTCTCACTGATGTGGGCTCTAAAGTCTGTTAGTAAAGACTGCTGCCACATTAAATTATAATTATAAAAGGCCATTGATTTTCAAACTCACTCACTTTTTCCCCTTTATCTTTGCTTAAGAACACTTGATGCTAATAAATTGCAGAGCAGCAAAGAGGGGAGGAGGGTCATCATGACCCAGCAATAACGTGAAAGTGAAAGTGACGTAACATGTGGCCAAGTATGGTGACCCATACTAGGAATTAGTGCTCTGCATTTATCCCATCCTAATTCAGAAATCATTCTAATGTGCTGATTTGCTGTTCAAAAACCATTTCTTTATTGATGTTGATAACAGCTGTGCTGCTTAATATTTTTGTGGAAACCATCATACATTATTTTAGAATTCTGTGATGACTAGAAAGTTCAAAAGAACAGAATTTATTTGAAATACTTTTATGTAACAAATGTGTTAGCCACTTTTATTAAAAAAAAAACCACCTTTTGCAGCACTATAAAGAGCTGAAGGCCTTCATTGCTGAGTGATTAAAGAACCTCAATCACAAACACAAAGATTCACAGAAGACCACAGCTTAAACTGAACTGACCCATTTTCTCCAGTCCAGACCTGTTACACGAACAACTGATAGTTAGATTTTGTACCAACAAAAGCAGCTCTTACACGACAAAAAAAGCTGTCATGTTCTCTTCAACGTTTCAATTACGTTTTCTCTTTTATAATAAAATGTGGTCAGCTTTGTGCATCTAAGAGGGTTGAGTGTCATTAAAAAGAAGAAATCTTTTCAAACAAATCTCAAAGCTATAGATCCATATCAGGAAAGTGGCCTTCAAAAAATGTAATTGGAGGAGAGAATGTAGCTAAAAGCACCTTGAACACAAGTGCTTGTGTCTTGTAGCCAGTGGAAAAAAACTTGGGAACGCCCTTCCTCTTCACAGAACTGAAAGAAATATTTTAAATCAAAACTAAATCTAGGTTACTTTCACTTTCAGCAAGAGGAAGGAGAAAGACAGGGAAAAGGAAAGAAATAAAGAGCTAAATAACAGAATGTACTGTAAGGTGGAGGAACACCTGGAAAAAAAAAACACCTACCAGTAAAAATAAATAAATAAATACACAAATAAATAAAAACATTAACGAAACAACTATGTGGTAAAAAAAAAAAAAAAAAAGAGGAAGACAAACAGATCTTGTTTTAAGCCATTTTTGTGCAAAAACACAAATTATGGAAATGTATATCGAACATCATCAAAAAGGATGAAAAATATATAGATTTACAATTTACAATCTCTCAGCATTATACTTTAGAGTAATATTCACACTAACCTCAAGTACATGCCCAGACATGCCAACACAGCCTGTAAATATATGATGCCAACTTCTGTCTTCCCTGAAAAATCTTACCTTTTGCTTTAATCACAGCTTTCCAATAACTGGAAACTCCAAGTTCACTTCTGTGAGGTCGTGACGTTCATGCCCTTGTTCTGACTTGCTTATCCAACCCATGAACATGAGTGATGCAGTGTTCAACATGTTCTGTCCATCATGATGTGTTAATAATGCTCTCACACTTTGATCAGGCATTTGATTTTTATACACAGCTTTGCTGATGAATATCTCACAAGCACTACATAATTTCAATTACGATGTCAATTATGATGACAAGCCAGTGAGAAGGCTGAGATTCTTCACAGCTGTCTTTACTGTGGTCAGAATGTTCAAGATGTTTATCATCTTCCATCTTTTCTGGGAGTGAGCAAAAAGAGAGTGAAGCAGAAGCAGCACTTGCTGAACTAAAGTGCACTTGTAAACTAAGCCTGAATCTAACATCCTGAAAGTAATCAATAAAACCACCCACACCCACACACAACACAACATACTGTGTGCAAAATAAAAGTCAACAACAGATGGATTTCTGCCATATACTGAATACTTTTATATGTTTTGATCAGAATAACGGATTCTGAAAAATAGTTATATAAGGTATAAGTAAACTGTTGAGCGTACCTGTTAGTAAGTTAAATAAACTCCACTGACAGTGGAGCATTGCATGGGATTTCACCATGCAGGCTGGATGCGAACCTGTATCTTGCATTGTCACCATGGCACAATGTGTCTGGAACACATTCTAACCGCTAAACCTTGCTTTAAAAAAAACACACTTACCGGCAGCCAAAGGTGGTCTGCAGCAGGGTGGTGATGCCCACACAAAAGAAAATGGTGCCAATCAGCTGACTGGTTGCCCACTGGTCAAATCCCACACACATGGCTTCAGCAAGCAGGAAGGGCACAGCGATAGTTCCACTAAAGCAGGTAAGATAGTGCTGAGGAAGAATGGTGTGCAAAGAAAAAATATCAGTATTTTTATCTCTGTTATCTCTGTAAAGGAGAACCTCAAATTAGAGAACTGCACTCCCACGGGACTACTGCGAGACCCACTGGACCCAAAGCAACAGAGTGCGGCGCGGGACAAGACTTGATGGGTGAGTGTGGGTGCAGGCGGATAGACACTCGTGTGTGTGCGGGATGCAGGAGAATAAAATGATTTGAGGGACTCCGCAAAATAGAAATATCAAAAAACAAATAAATTGTTATTCATTTATTGCACAAAAGCAACAAGAACAACTAATATAAAATAAAAATGATTAACAGGTGCAAACATAGGCAGAGTTTCAATTTATAACACGTGTTTGCAGCATTGAGCAATGTAGCCAATCACAGACATATCTGTTGATTTCTGGAACGCTATTGCCAATCAGTGGTGTTTAAGTTAGAATCCACTCACCGCTCAAGACCCCTGAGTTCTTGTGCAGTGCTGAAATCTGTGTCCTTACGAATCTTCTTATTATAACCCACGAAGTGCAGGCATTATGAAAGATTCATTGTGCATATATTTATTGCGTTATAACAGAGCTTTGTGAGATCGCGATGAACTGAGATGTCAGCTTTTTAGTGATTATAAAGGGATCGCTTTTTGCTCGCATTCTGCCATGCCAAGCCCAAACCATGCACGCAGCAGCCTATGCTTGCTTTTCTGTTAAAAATAACAGTTTTGTGAATGTTGATGCTTTAATAACAAATATTTTATCAGGAGTGTTTATGCTGTTCTGGCTAGGCGAGACGGAACTTACTATTTAATGTAAATGTCATGGATGTACTGAAAAAAATCTATATAGACTACTTTTATCCGGACTTTTGCGAGTGGGAGCGGGACAAAACATGAATGTTGTGGGCGGGAGCGGGACTGAAAAAATCCATCTCGCGCAGGTCTCTACATCAAATCTTATACAAGTCTAGGGTAAAGTGGGGTCACTGCTTCAATGTCAAGGGTCACTGCTGTAAATTCTAGGGTCATTACTTCAAGTTGAGTGTCACTGCTTTAAAGTCTAGTTTCACTGCTGAAAGTTGAGGACCACTACTTCAAAGTCTAGGGTCTCTGCTGTGAAGTCCAGGGTCACTGCATCATTGCTTCAAAGTCCAGGATTCACTGCTATAAAGATGAGGGCCACTACTTCAAACTGGATGGTCACTGTTGTAAAGTTGAATGTTACAACTGTAAAGTTGAGTATCCTGCTTCCAAGTCAAGATTTCACTGCTGTAAAGTTAAGGGCCACTGCTTCAATCTCCATAGTCAATGCTGTAAAGATGAGTGTTGCTGCTTCCAAGTCAAAGTTTACAGCAGTGAAATTTGAGGGCCACTGTTCAAAGTTGAGTACCACTGCTTCAAAGTTTAGTTTGACTGCTGAAAGTTGAGGGTCAGCGATTTAAAGTCTAGGATTCATTACTGTAAATTTGAAAGCCACTGCTTCAAACTCGAGGGTCACTGCTGCAAATTCTACATCTACAGTTACTGCTATAAACCCTTAGTTGAGTTATAGGTGGTATATGAATATCTTAAATGTCTGGGGCACATCACTCTACACTTGAATGTTCAAGTAAGTATGTCCACATGTGGCTGTGCATATGTTTGTACCTGTAAACCTAGGAACACACACAGGTACCAAGGTGGTGTGTCCTCTATGGTATATATCATGTCCATTCTCCTGGCGTCTATGCTGTCTGCACTGTCCACAGTCTCTGATATGGAGCACTGAAGGGGAGAGGAAACACAAGACACATGGGATTCAGGCTCTGGGCTGTTCCTATGGTAACCAATCTCTATTACAGAGAAGTTTAGTGAGAGCTGTACATTATAAACAGCATCAGTACAGACACACACACACAAACCCGACTCGACTGAAGGCTTGATTGAGAGAGTGTGTTTGCTGTTATTATACGATAAAGCAAATTAGTGAGCATATTAAATTCTTTCTACAAAATCAAGCTTCCTGTAACAAAAACTAAAACCAGATACTTAAAAAAATTCTCAAAATAAAAAAAATAATTTAACTGAAATAAAATAAATTATATAAAAATGTCATTTATTTTATTTCAGATAGTTACCAATGCCACATTTCTCATTTTAATTTAGTTTAACTTGATGTTAAAAAACGAAAACTGTAATAAAAGAAAATTATAAAAAAAATATTAAAAGAACTAATAAAAATGAAAAAATATATTATTATTATTATTATTATGCTGCAAAAGGCTACAATTTAAATAACAGTACTAATAATAATAATAATAGTAGTAATTATTATTATTATTATTCATAATAATAATATTAATAATAATAATAATAATTATTATTATTA